CAGAATAAAATAAAAAAAAAAAAACGTTGATCGACTTTATATTGTAGTTGTACAAAATGTGACCTCTGGTGGAAAGAATGTTAAACTCTCGTTCCTAGATATACGGGTACCTCAAAAACTTTTATAGATAAATCCACGAAAGCCTTCTTCTATATTATTTCAATATTTATGCGATTTTTTTCCAACTTGAACGTTAATTAATCTTGTTATTCCAGTTAAATGCCCCCCCCCCAGTGACACAGCGGTATTTCTGTGGACTTACAACGCTAGAAACTGGGTTTCGATACCCGTGGTGGGCAGAGCACAGATAGCCCTTGTGTAGCTTTGTGCATAATTAAAAACAAACAAACCAGTTAAATGATAAACTGAAGAAAGCAATTATTGCCATGTCATTGTCCCCACCCCCCAAAAAAAACAACAACAAAGAAACCACATATACTTCCCAATATATATAACAGCCAACTGTCACATTTTTAAAGTTTCATTTAATGTTATGCATTACCCAGTACAAGATTTCCCCATATTAGAGGAGGGGGAGTAGGGTGCCACGTAGTAAGGCGCGCTGGTGGAAGGATTCCTTGGTTGTGCTGTTTTTTATGGACGCTATACATATAGATTGTAGGACGATCGATTTTTTTTTCATTTACCTCGTGCAAGTATGTGAGTGTGTTTCTCTCCATGAACAACCATGCTGAGTTGAGGGAAGGGAGGAGAGTGAGGTTAAAGTAGGACGAAAAAAAAAGAGGGTTTATCTGTAGATTTACTAAAACAGTTCTATCACAAAAATATGTACGATTGCGTTTGTTTCTGTTGATATGAGTGCGGGTTGTGGGTTTACTTTGTTTCTGTTAATATGAGTGCAGGTTGTGGGTTTACTTTGTTTCTGTTGATATGAGTGCAGGTTGTGGGTTTACTTTGTTTCTGTTGATATAAGTGCAGGTTGTGGGTTTACTTTGTTTCTGTTGATATAAGTGCAGGTTGTGGATTTAGGTAAAAACTTACAGTAGTTGATGGTTTTTCAACCATCGCAGAAATGATGTATTTTTATCTCACGATTTAAGCTTATTCTTTGGAAACCAAATTTAGGGAAAGAACTAGATGCCAAATGAAACTGGATAAGCTATTTTTGGTTTGCATCAAACGTAGGTAATAGGTTATATCGTAGCTACGAACAAAAAAAATATTCGAAGTTTCAGCGTTACCCCGTAACCTTTCTGTCTTCCTCTTCGGTGTTGCTTTTCTATCGCAGTGTCAGGGAGTTAAAACGTTAAAACTCCTGTCATCATGTTACAGTAATACATTATATTCTAGTTATCACCGTGTGTTGCACTTTTGATCTCAGTTTACAACTTGGATATTTTTTCATTTCGTAGAACGTATTAATGGCTGAATACGAAGTTCTAAAGTGCAGTAAGCTTGTTGAGGCGTACTTCGGTAGCAATTCGACAGAGATTTAGTATTACATTTCAGTACGTTTTCCAATTGAAGCTTGAAGTTCAAGGGCCCCAGCAAACACTTTGTTTAGGTTTGTTTTTCTTGCTAGATAACATTCATGACCCCAAAGGCGTTTATTTACTAGGCAGATGTGCTTTTCGATATCCAAAGAAGGAGGGAAAAAATATTTTAAAAAAAAAAGTCATTGCAAAGGGTGTGTTTATCGTAAACAGCCTATGGTAATTGTTATGATAATGATCAGAGTGCATCCTCGCAGGTTCAGCCAGGCATGTCTTGCTGTAAACAACAACTGCAGGGTGTATGGATGGCCGATTACGTGGGGACTCTTGAAAATGGACAAACAACTTCTAAGGTAAACAACTGCATAAACTTACCTAACCTACTGTTGAAAAGAACGTTGACCTGGCGATGTTTGTTCGCTTTAGTAGAACGAGTAAACAACCGTAACCGGCCCGGGGCAGAAAAACGTGAACCGGGATGTCCGATCGAGTCAAGAAGGAATTGGGAGGAGATATGGGAAGGAGAAGTTGGACATCCGACTTAGACAAGTTGAGATTATGCTTACGCCACTAATTCTAGGCAGTGTTACTTATGAGGTGATAAGCTGTATAGGATCTGACTTCAGAAACACGTTATATGTTACGGTGAAAGTGCATGTTTATGAAATGTGCATGTTTAGTAGCCATTATTCACGTCAACCAGGATGATCAGAGAATGTGCGTATTTATAATTGCATAATGAAGCTCCGCTAATTAAGAAAAATGTGCAAATTGTGCACTTATACACATTTACCATAACACACACACACACACACGCATATATTAACGTATTCTTGATCTCTAGAAAAAGTATTTAAACGTCATTAGTTTACTTACTAAAATTAAAATTACGTTTTTATGAATTATTAGGTGAAAATGGGAATGTAAAACACGCAAAAGTATCGAATATAGAATGTTGTGTTTCTCGACAGACTTCATATTCTAAACGTTTTACATCCTTATACAGCAAATTATTGATGTTATTAACAAAACGCATATTTTTCATCACGTTTTAAATTTGTAGTTACGGGTCGTGAGTTTTTGTTAACAATAACTGATAATTTGAAAGCTACTGAGAATTTTTAATGGCTTAGATCGTTTTTGTGCTTTATTCTATAAAGTTGCTTCTGGTTATTTATATCAAAACGAAAATATTAAATATTATGGGAAGAGAGGGGGAAAAAACGAAGTTATGGTTTGGAATTTTAATAAATGGGGAATTAAAACTCTTCCGTGTGCATGTAATTAACCCCAAATTTTTTGCGCATTTTTTATTTGATTTACTAGTTTGATTCTTGAGGGTAAAGATACTATAACAAATTTATGGAATGCTTTATTTTATTTCTCTCAGAAATTCAAATAATGAAAAATATTAACAAAAGTTACTTAAGACGCTTGCATTATTATATTTCCTTTTAGACAAGCTGACAGCTTAACGTCTGCTAATAGTATGAATTTTGGTACGTAAGGCCAGTGATCTGTAGGCGCCAACAGCCTTAGAAAAGTTTAAGTACTTACTTTTCTACTGTTGAAAAGGAAAAAGAGAAAAGAAGGAAAGAGGTCTGTGTTCACCCTACATCTCGATGTTCCCCTTAGTGTGGCTTGTTCTGCTTCGCCATCTGCGGACAAATCAACGTAAAAGGGGGTGAGACCCCTTACGTCACACTCCTCTCGTAGAAAGTGTATTGCATTTGTGTAGACAGATGGGAGAGTTTTTAAGGGAGCTGTGTGTGGGGGGAGGGGAGCTTTGGGCCAGGAAGGTGGGCAATGAATATGTCATTTATCACCGGTTGTCATGTGCTTTGCTTGGGTTGAAGCTGCCCATTTTTTTCTCACACACAAACGTTCTCTCAATTTTTTTTTTTTACCACCTGTATTTGTACTTGAGGGATTTTTCTTCGAATTCAAAATTTCGTATTTAAAAACAAACAGTAATATGACTGAAACGAATGTTAACAGTCACTCTAAAGTTGTTAGAAAACAACTGTTTTAGACCTTCTTTTTCTATATATAATTAGTTACAGTTACAATAAAAAATAAATATTACCCATGGTTGAGGAGATTTAACGGTTTGCTTGTTTCTTGAGGATGTTATGTGTTTCTTCTGTGCTTCACTGTTTCCATGTCCAGTAAATGAAACACTTTTCACTGTATTTTCCGAAGCAAATGGTACCTTTCAAAAAACACTTATTTAACATATTATCGTGCTGCATTTTTTTTAAAACTCTGATTTGTTTTACTAGTATCTTAGAACACGAAAGCTACACCAGAGGTCATTGTATAGCTACAACCACTGTGTAAAAGAGTGAATATTGACGTAGTAAGTAGTGTTGTGTTGTCTGTTGTTTTGTTTCTGATATAAAACTGGACTTTCAAAATTGTCTCAGGGACGTCTGTTGTTAGGGAAATTTAGACATTTCACAGTCTTGTTAACGGTTGTCAGAGAACTGATATGTATGAGTGAGGCTTCATTGTACTGTCTGTACTTTGAGTACCTCAAAAGCAAACTAAATCAAAAAACGCTTACTGAAGTGATGATAGTTTTCATTTTTTTAAGCTTATTAATTACCTCAAAGTGAATAATTCTTTACATAAGCAAAAAAACTAGATTTTAATGTAATCTGTGACACCTGCGTTTGCATTACTGTTCTGAAAGAAAGCGTAAGATTAAGATAAAAATAAATTTAAGAACATTTTTTTTTAAAGGGGGAAACTAACTCAGGCAATCAAACTCAGGTATTGTTCATTATTTTATTGTTCCTTTTATATATAATGTTTTGTGTCTTAGAGTAATATTTATGTTCTGTAGTAACAGTAATAAAGTTAGTGCGAAGATGACTTGGTGTGTACACACATTCCGAGGATAACAAGCTTCTGCGCAGTTAGTTAGCCTATGAAATACATCAAACTCTGAATGCTGGTAATCAGCCTCAAACTTCATTGGGAAATACACTTAACTGCATATAAACATTTGTTTTATATTGTTGTCGCCAAAGGCATTTCCGACCCAACGTTTTATTACATTTTGTACTTTTTTTTTCAATGAAGCGTTCTGTACTTGGCACATTTTTGATTTGTCTTATGTTATTAGAATGAACGTGTTTATGTATATACCACATTATAGAACTATTTCAGTTCAAGTATACGATTTGTGAGTTTCATACCTTTACCTCAACTACCTCACTGTGTATTGTCTTCAGTTTTCACAAAATAATTAGCATGTATGAGATCATAACTGTTAGTCTTTTGATAAAAAAAAAATATTAGTCTCAAAATTTTAACTATAAATGGGAAAGAGGACAATGGAAGTAATTGTAAAAGATCATTTCGCTGATCATTTCCCCAGACTGTTA